TTACTGAAAATATATCTCAATTCGTAAAGGAAAATCTAATTGTGTTACTTAAATAATTCAACCGAATATACATTATATACTACGAAGTACAGTACTACTTCAAAATTGCAACATAATTATTTAATAAAGTATTATGCACATTTACATTCTTAACATTAAGTTGGAGGGGAATATTTTAAATATGTAGAATAAGTCATGGAATGCTGACAAGACCTTAGATTATATTCATTTATGGCCTTCTTAAATAATTTCCCCACATTTCTCTCAGAGGTTTCACGAATAGTAATAGTGTTTCACACCGGGCTTAACTGACTCAAATGTGCTTTAAACGCATTTTAATTTTTGTATTTTTTAAGTCTTTTAAATACACTAACAACATTTAATACATTCCATATTTCTTTACAAATTTTATTCAATTATTGCTTGAAATATTGATTTATAAAATTGATCAAGGGAGACAATAAAAAAGGACAAGTATGAAGACAGATTCAGAAAGAAACCAGATTTACTAAGGATAATTAACCACCCAACTGCGGGGGGTTCACTCCCCAGTTCCACACATCGTTTTTCTCATAGAAGCGCGTATGTAGTGTATTGAGGTTGAAAAAAGAGGCACAAATAAACAAATTTTTCTTTGAAATATGTAAATTGTTTGCAAACACGGTCAATGATAGTTTATTGTATTCCAAAGCCATCGTACTATTTTAAAAGCAACAGAATCGTACTATGGAAGGACAAATATGTCCACCAGTGAAACTTAAAGCACTGGTTGAGTTGATTGAAACAGATATATACAACAGATGCAGTTAAGAGGTAATAAATAGAATTTATATTATTAGTTTAAAATTAATGAAAAATATGAAAAAAAATCAAGCAGGAGTTTTTTTAGTATGTAGAGATTAATGGCTTATAATTTTTCCAATAATGATTTAATGTGCGTTGTAGGTGAGGGAATATTAACATCGCACTGTTCAGCTAATCGAGAGGTCCTGGCAATGGACCTCGTAGTTTTGAACCTTGGTCAAGTTGATGTATGTTGTAAGCTGCACATTTGAACTAAAGAGTGTTTTTTCCCAGGTATAGAAGTTTAAGTTGGCATCACTTTCCAAGATGGCGACCGTTTTAACAGCTGTCAAGTGATTTATTCTCAGTTTGGTTTTCACTTCATCATGAATAGACTCACGCCTGAACAACGCTTTCAAATTGTGCAATTTTATTTCGAAAATAAGGGTCGCGCGATTTTCATAAGCGAATTTTGTTTAGCGATGAAGCGCACTTCTAGTTGAATGGCTAAATCAACAAACAAAACTGCCGCATTTGGAGTGAAGCTAATCCACAAGTATACGTCGAAACACCGTTACATTAAAAAAAACTGACTGTTTGGTGCGCTTTATGGGCTGGTGGAATCCTTCTTCAAAAACGATGAAGGCCACAACGTTACAGTCAATGGCGATCGGTATAGAGCCATGATTACTAACTTTTTCATTCCTGAATTGAACAATCATGATGTCCAGGAGCTGTGGTTCCAACAAGACGGCGCAACATGTCACACAGCTCGTGCCACAATCGATTTATTGAAAGACACGTTTGGTGACCGCCTAATTTCTGGTTTTGGACCTGTGAATTGGCCTCCAAGATTTTGTGATTTAACACCGCTAAGCTATTTTCTGTGGGGCTATGTAAAGTCATTGATCTATGCGGATAAGCCACAAACGCTTGACCATTTGGAAGACAACATTCGCCGTGTTATTGCCGATATACGGCCACAAATGTTGGAAAAAGTCATCGAAAATTGGACGCCCAGATTGGACTACATTCGAGCCAGCCGTGGCAGTCGTATGCTAGAAATCATATTTAAAATGTAATGCCACAAGATTATCTTTCGAATAAAAAAAATTCATGTCAATCGAATAACACATCGTTGTTTTATTGCAATTTAAAATTCTATACCTCTAAAAAAACACCCTTTATCAATGCTAGCTTAAAATAAGTATTTTAAAATCATTAAACGTTAACATGTTATTTGAAAATAAAACTAACATTTTTTCGTCTTGAAGTTTAATTTTTAAAATCATTTACTGACATTTAGCTATATTTATCTGACTTTTCTGAAATATTTTGGTTATTGTATTAGAGTAATGATCTTACTATTTGTAAAATAACTGTTAGTGACAGGGTGTTGCCAAATTCGACCGACAAATATAAAAGATATCGTTTGGGATTGCCAGATAGTATTTTGTATGTTCTGAGTCCATTTTGTTTTAACCATCATGGCAAAAAGAGTACTTTTTTAAAATTAAAATTAAAAAAAAAACATTTTCTTTAATATTCGTAATTCTTTTTTTTATTAAATAGACCGAAAATTTTTGTTCTTTATATTGAGATAGTATCAATGATAATAAATTGTAAATTTTAGCGTATTTGATTGCATTAAAGATTTTGAATGAATTTTTGAATGAACTTAGTCTTAGCAGGAGAATTCGCCTGGTCCCGTACGTGCAAATTCTTTCGGAACGTGTGGGCCGGGGAAAACGTTTCTTACTCCTTGCACCGGTCCTGAAGAAGTTAAGGAATTGTTCGAAGTTGGTGCGGCGTAGGTCATGGTACAGCTGACACTAATGGACAAAGATTGTAAGACGCGTACCAACAAAACTCGTGTGCGGGCGATGTCAACTGAAGTGAAAACTACCCGTGCCGTGAGATCCTACACTGTAGCCATCGGCGTTTCATACAAAAGCAATTTCAAGAGAACATAGAGGAAGAAATCCAAGGAATTGAGGTCCAGGGAGCTTGGAGGCCAATCAAAAGATCATCCACGTCCAATCCAACTCCTGGGATATGTAGCATGGAGATGGTCACACACCACAACAAAAAGATGGGCTGGCGTACCATCGCTTATGTAACCCTCACTTATGACAACTTGCTCACCGCTTTTATTCTGCCTAGACAAGTGGAAAATTTGCATCCGTGCAGGCTTCTTCAGCCCTACCATGGCGCTCCAAATCATTGCATTCCTTTAGCGCATCGTCATCCGATGGGTATTACAAATGAGATTTTCAACTGAACGTGGTTCGCGACCCCATTGTTCTATGTTGATTTGTCGTTCTCATGCTGGCTATTATCACCCCTCTGAATTAGTCAGTCAAGTTCGTCAACACCATGTACGTTATAAATTGCAAATAGTAGTCAAAAATTCCAAAGGAAAATATCGCCTCAAAAATGTATATTTTCAACTAATCTTTTAATAAGTAAAGTGGCCCCGGTAGCCTAGTGGTCAAGATATCGGATCGCTGCGGGCTTGTCACGAGTTCGAGCCCAGTACCACTAAAGACCGGCGTGTAGGGAAGCGATGTACGTTAAATCTGTTGAGAGCTGAAACGTCTTCCCGGTGACATGGTGTGGTAGTTAGGAGAGGAGGTGCCAGCTCAGGTGTCGTCTTCGTCACTTGACCATGGTTCAAACTAACCAGGTCCGTCACCAACAGCTATCGTTTAGCTGAACAGCGCGATGTTAGTATTTATTAACTCACTCACTTTAGTAAGTAAAATTATTATCTTATAAATAAAATCCACTTCTGACAAAAATAAATTTGAAATAATTTTAAACTTTTTGTAGAATTTAAGATATATATATGTATTAAATTTAATGGACATTTTATATCTATATATATAGCCTATATTTTCAATTTTGTTTATTCTTAAAACCTGTGTTTTAAAATATTTTGTGTCATTTTTTCATTTTTAACGGATAGTCTGAGATACATATGCAAAAATTCATTTTGTTTTCTTGAAAATTCTCTTATCAAACAATATGTGGAAATGAAACAATAAAAACCCTTTTACTTTGTTAATACAAGGAAAGGGTTATTGAGAAAAAGTATTTATTATGTTTAATATGATACTAAATGTGTTTTGTATAAAAAACATTATTTAAAACATTTTATGTTATTTCAGACAACCCAAACGCTTCAATAGGAAAAAAAATAGAAAAATAATTTTTTTAAAGAAATAAATAAATAAAAAAAGGCAAAATAGTTTTTATAGCTTAAAAATTTAAATATTTTATTCTAAAAAAAATATATCTAATAAATTAGTATATATTATAATCACATACTTCTTTTAGTAATATCAAAGCATTTTTGAGGAAGAAAATAGACAAAATTGTTGGGTCGCAGAAAAAGAAAATTTTAGGTTCATTAAATATTTTTTATACAGACACGTAGTTGATTTTTGTTTATTTTTAAATAAAATTATACAAGCTTTTGCAAATTAGTTTTACAATTAATCATCATGAAGAATTCTTGCAAATTTCAAAAAAGTTAAAAAAGTCATAAAATTGTTGTAGAAAAGATATTTAGGGCAAAACAACAGAAACATTTCACATTAAAAGCAAAAATAGGGCGCTTTCATGTTATATCTATCTTGTCATAAATTACCCCTGCCTCTTCGTGATTATTCTTACCCTAAAACTGTCTGGGCTATATTTTAAACTTCTTTCGATGTCATAGTTTTGAAAAAATATTTCCGTTTATCATGCAATGTTGTTGATGAATGTAAAAATAACATTTGGATATATGAAAGTAAAGATGATTTCACGAAATACAATGATATGATATATTAAAAATAATATAAATATTTCAGCATTTTTCGTGAAAATATGTCACAATTTTTTTTTTTTGCGGAAATAAAACATTACTTAAAGTTTCTTTTGTACATTAAATTATTTTCTATTCGTGTATAACAGCTTTATTTTCTTTTTACGGTTTAACGAATTTTTTAATATAAATAAAGTAGAGCCAATAAATCTTTAATATTGTTGTTACGTGTTTACTACTGAGATACATACGAAAGATAGATGGACACAAATACATACAACACCAAAACAGAGTTTTCATTGCAAACAAGGATCCCACCATAGGACAGAAAAGATACGCTGCTTTCAATTTGAGACTGGAATCCATTTCAGGCGAAAGTCCGACTTTCTTTACCAAAGATATACTCTTGCCTATTCGGGATTCGAACCCGAGTACACTGGGTTACAAGCCTAGTGTCATAACCACCATACTAAGTGGAACGGCAAGCATTGTCATTAATAATACATAGTGCAGAATTAAATCGAGTTGCAAGATAAAAATAAAATAATTTTTTGAAAAAAAAATGTATATATATATACATAGTCACGAGTAAATACAATATTTCTAAATTTATGCTTCAACTACGGATATTTTAGTAAAGAATTTACTGAATAATATTTCGTTGTTCAGCATTTCTCAAACTGTTGGGGGGCGCAAGTGTATCGAAAAGTCGAAAACAAAAATTATTTAAAAAGATTGTAATTTACTGCAGGGAAGCAAAAAAATACATTCTGACATGATAAAAAATAAAATACACATTTACACTGATATAATACCTTGTAAAAAAATATTAGTACTGCACAATTTGTTTCATAATTAATTTAACAGCAATCAGTTAATAACAAGTTTAATAATTACTAGTGATCCTATGGGCATGTCATAAAATTACACTGCTCAAAACAATTAAAGGATATTGTAAGTTTTATATAAAATAAAGATATAAGCGAATTTTTTTTTTGCCCAAAACGGAAGAAGAGAATAGCAAATGCAAGTTTTTCTGATTTTCAAACTGTGGAGTATGCTAATTTTGAATGCGACATCAAAAACGTCGCTTCAACGGCAGCGAATGAAATTAGACTTTCGACTGAAATGAAGACAAGGATGATCGGCATTCAGTGACTGCTTTGTTTCGATGAGTACGATGTCTCAGCGAAGTCATTTAACCGATTCAGAAGCTTGGAGAGTTGTTGGTAGGTTAGAAGGGGGCCAAACTCAAACCGAAGTAATGAAAGCCATTGGAGTGTCACAAAGTGTGATTTCCAGGATCTGGAACCGTTTTTTGGAGACTGGAAGTGCAGGCGGAAGACCAGGACAAGGTTGTAGACTGGCAACAACGCCCAATGAAGATCGTTATTTAGTGTTAACGGCTCGGAGTCGCCTAAATATGAACGCTACTCTTCTCCAACAACACCTTCGCTCGGCTACTGGCACCACGGTTTCAATTCAGACTATCCGAAACCGGCCCCATGGTGTAGGTCTGTATGCTCGCCGACCGATGGTATGTGTCAGACTAACATCAAGGCATCGTCGCGACCCCAGGGAGTGAGTAACAGAGCATGTGAACTGGAGGAGAAATGAATGGAGCAATGTTCTTTTTTCTGACGAGTCTCGTTTTTCTGTTCATCCGGATAATAGGCGTATTTTCATCTGGAGGGACCGTTGCAATAGGAATAATCCTGCATTCGTGCACGAAAGTGTCAGATTTGGCGGAGGGGAGTGTTGGTGTATGGTGGCATCTCCATTGACGGGCGCACAGACCCCTACATCATTCGAGATGGACCTCTGACTGCTCGCCGATATAGGGATGAGATCCTCAGACCTATTGTAGTCCCTTACGATGCAGCAATCGGAGATGACTTCATTTTAATGGACGATAACTGCTGGCCACATCGTGCTAACTTGGTGGAGGATTTCATTTTCGAGGAAGGAATCGTACGAATGGAATGACCAGCGTGTTATCCAGACATGAATCCAATAGAGCACGTTTGGGACGCTCTAGGAAGACAAATTGCTGGCCACCAATCACCCCCTCAAACTCTTCAAGAACAGGAAAGAGCTCTTCTGGAAGAGTGGGACAAAATACCCCAACTCGTGATTAATAGCCTCATTGACTCCATGCCTCAAAGGTGCTTAACGTTGCAGGCCGTCCGTGGAAACCATACCCCCTACTGAAAATGATTTCCTTTGAAGAAAACACCTTTTCTTATTCTTTTTTTCTCATACTCACAAATTGTGTTTTTTTTCCTTTTGTACACAAATGCGCAATAAAATGCATTTTTTTCTGCCAAACATGTGTAATTTATTCTCATATAACCTACTACGTCTGTCGACCATGTATCAATCAGCTAAAAAGTTTCCCAGCCACAAGATCCACCTAAAACCGCAATATCCTTTAATTATTTTGAGCAGTGTATATACACAATTTAACACTTATCTTGATAATTTGTACGATTTATAATTAATGTCATATTGTAGTCTTACCTCGACGTATATTATTATTGAATTCAATACCTTGTTATGTTTTGTAAAGGGGGCGCAATCAAAATTATGACTGAAAATTGGGTCGCAAGTATAGAAAGTTTGAGAAGCACTGCGTTAGTTGCTTAAAACATTTTATTTTGCTTATATTCAAAATATACTATAGATTGTAACTAAATTATAAAGTACGCATGTGGATTAAATATATGCAGCATTCTTTACAATATATTTAAGCAGTCACACAAGATAAAATGAAAAAAAGCGATTATTAGAAATAAGATATTACGAAAAAAAACAACGTGCTATTATTTTTGATAGCTTATAAAATTATCCATTTGAATACAACGTAACATTTTCTGATCTCAAGGGGTTTTATAAAATGTGAATCGACTCAATTGTAATTTTAATCTTAAAAAGAAGATACTTGCTTTTTTTTCATGGTATTATCTAATTTGTTACTATTCAGATGAAATGTATCGTTTTTGTCTTAAGAGTATTTTGTACTCTTTTAATTACCAGGGAAAAATTAATGAGTTCATTTAATTTCAAGCTATTTTATTAGTATCTACCATCTTTACAATTTTTGTAGTAACAGGGCATTTATTTGTATATTTCTGTGTGTACTCTCGGGCAACACCGAAATGACCGCATATAAACTTTCACGGATGTCGCAAACTTATAGAAATTATGTAAACAGTCATTTATTGAGCCATTTTATTATTTTTTGTTATTTCGTTGTTGCACTTACAGATTAGTGAAAAATAAGCGATAAAAAATGTCAACAGAAATAGCTATCAATCTTAAAAATATTTACTTTTACTTTAAAAGGTTTTTGTTTTATGAAATATACTTTTTATTATTTGTGAGCTAAATATTAACCCCTACCCCTTATATATCCCTTATATATCCACCGGCGTATATGACTTTTAAATTGTGTTCTATTTAAAACTTTCTCCCGAAGAAGAAGACACGGTTTAAGTAAATGAAGAGTTATATTTAAGTATTAACTTTTAGGTACGCAAAGTTAGTGGTTAGTGGAAAGTAGCTGAGAGTTCCTCGATGATTAATTGTTGAATAATCCAAGATTGTTAATTCAAGATATAGTCAGTAAAGTTAGAATTGAATAATAATGGCCGGAGTTCGAACACCTAAGAACGGAATTACTGTAACTTAGACCGTAGGTAACCAAAGAGTTCCAAGAGAAGGTTAATTGAACTATAATTAAATAATAATTATCCTTTTTGCCTTATAATTGCTCCTATACTTAGAAGTGTGCATTTCCTACCCTGGGTGATTAAATTAAATGAAAGAACAATAAATCATTATTGTATTGACTATATCTGAACTTTATGCTAATCCCCAAACACCGATAAACGCGACAGCTCGTTTACGACAGTTTGTATGGAGAAATCTTCAAAATGCTCGTGCATAATTCACTGCTACTCATCGAAATTTAAAGCACACATGCTACTGTGTTGATTTAGTTCAAAATCGCTTTTGTCACTTGAACATACATATTTAATTTGTTTATTTTCTAAAAAATTATAAGTTTTTGTGACGATGCTCGGTTGGACAGTAGCTTGTGAATGTCACTATACCCAGATATGCATTATCGAAGCTATTTTTAAAATTTCATACTCCTTTCGAAATTGGTATCTATTTTAAGAAAATGCTTTTCTGATTTGTTGGAAAGCTGAATCTCAGCATATATTGTATCCACTCTCAAATAATCCAGTTCTTCCTGTCCGTCTTCATAATCTATCAATTTATTGATAATATCACTGTCATTGAATATTTCGTCTTCAATCAAGTGTGGGCTGCTTTTGCCTTGCGAGAAAGCAATGGAACGTGCATCGTTAAGAGAACGTTTATAACCAATTAATACAGCGTATTGAAGTATGTATATGTACACTGATAGAAAATATTGTAGTTGCGTCAAAACCGTTAAAATTCATACATCACACACAAAAAAAAATCGCACAAAATTAAAATCGTATAAAAAAGGAGACCGCACGAAAACAGGTTCTCCTGTAAATGACTTCAAAATATAATAGTATTATACAGGTAATTTCAGATTTCTCCGTAGAAAAGAGGGTTGAATATGACTAGAAATTAAAATATGCTGTTTGAAAGTATAGGTGCGCGATATCCACCGAATTTTACTGGTAATAGATATTTTTAAAAAGTTACTTTTAATTATTAAGGTAAGTATTATGTTAGTTTTCTTTTCTAATTTTTAAATTGCAACAGATTGCAAAATAATTTCTAATTAAATTAAATATTTATTTCCTCAACCATCCATTACTAAAGTCTAATCCTACATTTCCAACATCTTACCTTCATAAAAGCGGATTTTCTGCTTTGGCTGTTTTAAAGAAAAATATAGATCTCAGTTAAATATAGAAAGAAAAAAAACTTAGTACTCATACATTTATATCAGTGAAATGTGTATTTTAATTTCTATTATGTCAGAATGTATACATTTGGTTCTGCTTCCTTTCAGTAAATTAATAGTTTTTTTAAAAAATCTTTTACTTTTGACTTTCCGATATGCTTCTGATAAGGGGAACGTGACACCCCAAGTAGGGTTATCACGCCCCCACAGTTTGAGAAGAGCTGCTATATGATTAAAATTAAAATGTAGCTTGATAATTAATCCCCACTGCAAGAGATATGATGAAGACTACATATTTCATGAAACAAGTGGATGAAGCATGAACCATATTACATATCACATGTTTAGAAAAACGTATGATAAAACATGTAGTAAACATGTTTGCTTGAATAGGCGTTCAAGAGATGTAAAAATAAGCTAATGAGACCATTTTTAGTGTTTATCGACATGGTATTCAATTACATTATTCCGAGAGCTCCATTTATAAATAGAAAAATTCAGATTATCTATCTTAAATAATTATCTTACATTAAGGTTTCGTGTTTTTAATCAATCGAATTCAAATATAAAAAAAGG